GATTTAGGAATAAGAGACTGAGAAATCTCAGGAAAAGTAGCTAAAAATTGACCATCCACCAAAAATCTGTCCAATCTAACAAAAGTTGGATCATCTTGGTTATTACACCAAGTGAACCTTCCCCCATTCAAAGGCAGATTAATCAAACCTAAAGACTGAATAAACTGAGAGAAAATCCTCATAGAGAACCTATTTTGTGCTTTACCCCTTCTCATCTTCACAAATAACATTAAAATCTCCTCCAACACAAACCGGCAGGTTCTGTCCAGAGATGAACACTGAGTTCTTCAAAAAAACTCTCTTTTTCTTCCTCCACTGAAGGCCATAAACATAATGAGGACACTTCTGAATTGATGCAGCCTGAATTTCCCTACAACAGCAATGATCTTCTGTTAATGCAGTGATTTCCATCTCAAACATTGTCATCCCAACAACATAATAAGCCCCTGAAGAACCAATAGCTGGGATTCAATACACTCTGAAGATTATTCAGTCCATTCCTTCTCAGAAAAGACCTTTGAACCTTCTCTATTTTAGTTTCTTGTAACCAAAGAAAAGAAGGATGTGAGGTAGAGACCAATCTGGACTGCTTTATGTTTTTCTCTTTTCCCCAAGCCCCTAACCATTCCATGAAATTATGCTAATTTGTCTTTCATAAATTTCTTGAGAACCTGACTTCCCCACTATGGCAAACTCAACTGGCCAAATTCAAGCCCTGTTCTAATTTAATTATTTTGTCCAGAAAAGCTTCCTTCCCCTTAGTAAAGAGACCCCAAAATCGACTCACTTGCCATGTGGCTACTATTCATCTAAAAGCTCTGAAAATTCTGTAGAAGAGGCTGTAGAAATATCGACATGTTCTAGCGCTTCTCTTACCAATGATCTTCTTGCCCTTCTTTTGCAAAATCCTGATTTGGAAAATCAAATGACTGTCCGTAACACAACCCTCTGGCTCTCCATCGAGACTTCTAATCCTAGCTTCTCTACTAATTTGTCTCCTCTCTGCCTGGAGAATTAAGCTATGTTGCTGTAGAAATCTTTTGTATTGGCGTGCAGACCTGATCACAAACTTTGTTTTGAACTGGAACAACCTCTGTACCATTAGTTTCCTTATGAATCTCCCCATGCCATTGTTTCTCTCCCTCCTTCTATAAACTTTGCTGTAACTGGCCATTCTCCTTCTCTGTAGAGGCTCACTTTTTGTGGATAGCGAGCTTCTATGCACCACCATCGCTTTATTCTTAACTGGCTCTTTAAACAATTCGAGTTAGGAACTATCAGCGAAAAATTAGGATCAGGAACCTTAATATCTACACTGGCAGACGAAGCTGAAATGCAACTGGTCCCTTTATTCTTGTTTATAACACTGCTAGCTCTATAATTCCCCTGTTTTTAACCAGTTTACCAAACTTGTTAATTGTATATCCTGGCCCAGAAGGAAAAAACTTGAAGCCTCCGATCCAGTCAGCTCATTGTCAACAGATAGGGCCTCCGGCCCATTAGCCGAAATATTTGAATTTCTGATGCCCAAACCTGCAAACTCACCTACTATGGTATTCCCACCATTCTGAACACCTGACAACCCTCTTTAATGCCTTTCCCATGTTTAGAAAGTCTTGGAAAGTGCATTTCCCCATCAGACTGTGCTGTGCCGAAAGAGACACCATCATCATTCCACAAGTCAACCTTCTGTCTGAACATCTCTGCTGATTTGACTGAACTTTCCTCATATTCTGACTTCTCCCTGACTCTACCTTCCTCAGACCCCAACTCGCCATACTGTTTCCCATCTGCACCGATCACCGAAAAAAATTTGAAAAAGGATTTGCATCTTCCCCAGCCCTCTCCAACTTTGATCTTAATCCGATACGATCTGCCATAGGATCCAAAATTAGTGAATTCTGGAACATCGAAAGGACTTGCAACTCGCAAAAGAATCCTCACAGACTAGAGATCCTCCCTGTTCTTAGTGGACTCATGGATTTCTACCATACTTCCCCATCTTCCAGCAGCTCGTTCCAAGAAGGATTCATCCCAACATAACAGAGGAACCCCACTTAACTCAAGCTGACAATAAGCCATTGGAACACCTTCTTCATTCAGTAAAGGTGCTAATCTATCAAAACAAAAGTTTATTACATCTCTCTTCTTTGTCCATGCCTCCATCATTTCTTCGAGAGATTTGAAAGTGATAACACAGGAATTACGGGCATAACCCCAACCAACAATCTGAACTTCGTAACCATTAGTAATGAAGAACTCCTGAACTGACTTAATATCTAAAGAGAGCTTAAAAATCTCTGTTAAAGATCTTTTGACCCAGTTCCGATTCTCAGAGGGAATATGCATTTCCATAACATTCTTCAATGCTTTCTCCCTTTGATTCCCAACAGAATGTGTCTCCCTATACCCCAAAGTATTGTTCCTCATATCCTCAGTCAGTAAAGCCTCTTTGTACGATCTGTCATCCCTAACACTCCTAATGGAAAAATCAGCCTCTTTCAACTTTGAAGGACCTGCTGTAATCGAAACTGGACCCAACTGAACTGGACTATTCTTGGCCACATTCCTTGGACGAACTTCATTGTATTTTGCAACACCAACTGAAATCCTTCTCCCATCTATCAGTGAATCATTTAACATATCAATTGCTCTCCTCAAACCAGATTCCCTCTCAAACTGAACAAAAGCGAAAGTGGAAAATCTATATTTTGGGTTTTTAGTTTCTTTCGGGATAAAAACTCTCTCCACAGTTCCCTGAGACGAAAAAATATCTCTAAGTTCACGCCGAGAAAATCTCCTACTTAGATTATCGACAAAAGCCTTCCAAACCTCGCCTGAACCTATTTTCCCTTTCAACTTTTCTCTCTCTCTCTCTACTTTTCTCTCTCCCATGTTTAGCTTTTTGTTCTTTGTAATAGGGCTTGAACGTTGAGCACGCAACAATCATAATTGTTATTAAAATTTTCATTTGCCGTTGTATTGCTTCTTTCTACCGTATTGGATTTGATTTATTTGGTTCACAAATTAAATATTGGGTTTGTAAGAGAAAAATTTCAAGGTTATATCAAGCGCTTACTGTCCATTTTTCTAAAAAAAATGAACATTCAGTGATTGGATAGAACGTGATCATCGAAACTAAAGCCAAAGCTTCCATTCATGTAATCTAAGATCAATGCATTCATACAAAAGAACTCATCGAAAATCTTAAGAAAGCTGGCATGAAATTGTAGATGAACGCAAATCTCGAGAAAACCCACCAACAGAAGAGAGAAAATTCAGTTCAGTATAAGTTCCTCACGCGATAATCATCACATATGTACAACAATTCTCTTTATATAAAAGAGACTACTACAAATAAACAAGGGCAAGGCACCAAGAACTAAACATGGAAACATTAAAACCAAACATTATATCCTTAAACAAAAATTATAATAAAGCTTGTCTTGTCTTAAGCAGAACCCAGTATAAACCTTTGAGATGTGGTATTTTACTGCTGTGTAGCCTGGAGGAGTCCATCACGAATCTGAGTCGCGACGTCACGAACGGCTCCAGGACCATGAGGGATAAACACCGCCGAGGATTTAGAAGCAGCACCGATTTCTTTCATGGTGTCAAAGTACTGAGTGACCAGGACCATGTCCATGACATCCTTTGCGGTAGTCCCCGGGACATTAACAGAGAATCCAAGCACGCTATCTCGCAGCCCATCAACAATCGCTTGTCGTTGGCGAGCAATACCCAACCCTGACAAATATTTAGACTCGGCCTCACCTTCAGCTCGTTTGATCTGCAAAATCTTCTCGGCCTCCGCTTTCTCATTAGCTGCCACCCTCAGCCTTGCAGCTGCAATTACAATACAATCAGAAAATCATATTGAGGAAAACAAATAACAAGTCTGAAAGAGCAAGAACTGAGTAAGAGGCACAGAGTATTTTACCAGCGTTGATTTCATTCATTGCACGCTTCACATGCTCGTCGGGTTCTATGTCCACAATAAGTGTCTGGACAATCTCATACCCATAGGCAGACATAGCCTGTAAGAACAGCAAGACGACGACAGAGTTAGAAACATATTTACATACCAGCTTCACAATTGCAACAACCTAACATGACAAAGCCTTAATCAAATTGATTACCTTCTCAAGTTCCTCTTCAACGGCTTTCGCAATTTCATTCTTTTGTTCGAAAACATCATCCAGATTTAGCTTCGGAACAGTTGCTCGAATAACTAAACATATTAAACGAAAATCAGCTTCAATCCTTCACTTTTTCAACAAGAAATCAAACGTCAAAAGAACATGTGAATATGAGCACAATGTGAATGCATAGTCCACAGAAAATTGTTCATACCATCAAAAACATAAGCTTGAATTTGTGTCCTTGTATTTGTCAGTTTGTAAAAGGCATCGTTCGCCTTGTCTGCAAGTGCCCGGTATTGAATAGATGCAACAACATTGACAAAGACATTGTCCTGATAAGATGACCATAATGTTCACTTAGTTTCAAACTGCATAACAGAAGCATGTTCTGTCTAAAAACACTATTTCATAAATAAAAGCGATTTGAAAGCAAGACAACCAGAATATTTCGTTGAATCTATGCTGCTCATGAGTACTCGACAATTATATTTCTTCACAATAATGAATTAGTCCTTCCTCCACCATCAGAGACAGAGAAATTGACCAAAGAATAAACAAGACTGTATATGCTAAAGTTGGATAAGATAATAAAGGTACACAAGAACTAAAAAGCAACTTATATTCATCAATCATCATCTAAAGATGTCCAGAGTTATACAGAAAATAAGTCGATAGACGGACCTTAGTCTTGGTTTCGCACCGAACATCCAACTGCTGCAACCTTAGGGAGAGGTGACCAGCAAGTTGACTTCCAAGAAACCAAGGTAGGCAATGGCATCCGGGTTCGAGAACATCCTCAAACTTGCCGAATCTCTCCTTGATGGCTACTGTAGACTGGTCAACTTGTATACAACATAACAGATTACCCATGTTCTCTTTGCTCTGGGACTCCAACAGTCTATATATCAGATTCAATAAAAAAACAAATAAAAATGCTAACATGGAACTAGCATATTCCACTAGCATGCAACATAAGTCATAATCAATGGTTTCTGCACATGTAGGACATAAATATTAACCTCATAACATGAATACCATAACAGAAAACAACATAAACACAAAATAACCTTCCCAACTTAAACCAGATCAACTTTGAGTGGAAATTAAAAAAAAAAAAAAAAGTTTGGCAAATCACAACTTTGATTCATATAAACCAGCCCAATTCCGATACTTAATAAACAAAGGAAGACTTTACAAAGGATTTAGAAGACTTACAACTTAATAAACAAAGGAAGACAGAGCAGAGGAAGAGATAGACATAAATGAAAATGTAGTGTATATAAATAGAGACATCTGCAAGTTGCCTAAGGATATTTTTCAATAAGTCAACAGAGTTTTATTCCACTACTTTCTTTCTTAGCAACTTATATGATAAAATAAACAAATAAATAAATATCAAGTTGTCTTCAACTGTAATGGTAGTGACCATTACTTCTTCCATTAATAAATGGTAATATATGTAAATAATCGTTATGTAATTAAGAAGATAATAACAAGAAAATCAAAAGGAGAAAGAGATGAACACATGGATTTAGGTGAAAAACTTTTAATGGAGAACTTTGAACCGAAAATAAAAAAATCACTATGATCGACGCCAGTAGTACAAGAGAAATGCTAAAAGCACACCCTAACCCTAAAAACCCTAAGAACATATACATTATGGTACATGCACTTAACACAAAACCCTAAACGGTAAACATGTACTTCGAGGTTCTGCTTCTGCACCCCGACAGGATCAGTGGGGTACGGACTCGCAGATCTCATTGTTTTTTTCTCAATTTTAATTGTTCATCAGTTGAGACACCTCAAATTTGAAAATAATAATTATTGTATTAAAAGAAACGAATACTGATCCTAATACTACTACAGCCAGTAAAACTCCCCAGACGTCTCAGCATGTGAAGAGAATCTTATTTCTTTAAAACCCACGAACATATCATGACATTAACCCTATTGATTGAATGGAACTGCCATAAACCTTAAAAACTTCGTCATGGGTTGTATCTATCAAGACAAAATTCATAGGGGAAATTAACAAGGAAACAGGTATACTCCATAATCGTATTAGACTAAATTTACATATATAAAAAAAAAGATTTCCATTAATGGACAGTGACAGCTAATCTCTTGTTGCCGGCTTAAACAGCGGAATCATGAACACGAGTTTCTTGTTTTTGGTCAATTGTGTTTGTTGTCATTGATGGAATCAGTTCAGAAACAAGTAGAATGCTGAAGTGGACTGCATTTTGAAGGGAAGATTAAAAGAAGGTTCTTCATATGTAAAATTGAGATCGAAAAGATGGAGGGAGAAGGTTATATTTACCTGATTTTACTGGAATTCTCTTTTTATCATTAGTTGTTGCTTTTCGAATAGGGGTTCTTGAAGAAGAACAAGATAAAGAAGACGCACATATATTCGAATTGAAACAGTGGGCTCAAAACCTGGATTCCACCATCCCCGATTATTACAAGAAAACATTTCTTGTAATCGGCAAGTAATGTTTTCTTAGGCTAAATTATCTATTTGGTCATCAACCTATTTTTATTTTTCTATTTTAATTAGTTAACTATTTTTTAAAAATATACTTGATATATGTTTTACTTTCATTTTGACCATTCACCGTTTTATTTAATAGTTGACTTAACAAAACAATAATAATGACATAATATATATATATATATATACTATCAAATCGATTCTAATTCATAAATTAATTTATTAAAAGATTGCCTTACAGGATGAACAACCTCAAGACCTCGTGAAGAACTTTATCAAAATGAAAGCGTTAAGCACACACAGTTGTTTACATGGAAAAGAAGATCTACCACGTAGGGATCAGCCCCACTAGGAATGAGGTGGTGAAGGTGGAGTTGCATGGGAAGTTGGCCAAGAGTGACGTAGTTGTGAATGGTATGAAATATATACAAAAGATTGAATCTGTCTCAAATGATTGGTGGGTTGAAGATATATGTGAGGTATATATAAGAATTTTAAATATTATGAATTATTTTGAATTAACATTAATTTCGTAGAATCTATAAATTTTAAAGATTAAAATCGTTATTATGTTATGTCACATCATTATTTTTGTTAAATTAATACTCAAGGTTAATGATGTGTGATTGAAACAGAAATCAAACATAACATTAAATATGATTTTAAATAATAATAATAGAGTGACCAAGAAAAAATGTAAGAATAGATTAGTGATCAAATGATTGAGAAGTTATCTTGAGATAGACATTACCTTGTATTTACCCCCAAATTAATAAAAAAATGCAAAATTATAACATTATCGTTGTTTGTTTGATTCGTTTATGTTCGTATTAACAGGTAACTCACATGAATTTTAAAATAATTTTTTAAGATATATGAAAACTAGGATCAAGGAAGCTCACGTTTAGAAATTATTCTCACCTTAAGATAGTTGAATTATTGTGACCTATGTCACATCATCAGTTGAACACCTGTAAAAATATCATATCAATAACATATGTGATGTATTAACTATTAGTCAACTAACAATTTTAGTCTAACAATTACTATTTTGATCAAAATGTTAAAACATTAGAAGCTAAAATACTTTCTAGAAAATAAAAAACAAAATGATCATTTGTACAAATATTCAGATAATTTTATCATTATGTCTATTTTATTTATACATCTCGTAACGTTCAGGTAACTATAACATGATAAATCAATAATATGAACAATCATACCATAACTTTCAACAATTGGGTGATCAAAATAATAATAAAATGAAATAAAAGTGACCAAAAGTATAATTTAGCCTAACAAAAGCTTTTTGTTCTTTGAAAAGAAAAAGAAATTGTTGGGGCTTGAGTTTGGGTTTAGGAATTGAAAATAAGTCCAAATCAATTTTCCTAACCAAATATTTTTATATAAACTTTTGGGTATTTCAAGCTGTTCTTGAACTCGAACAGATGATCTTTCTTTTAGGCAGGCACTATTTATCCACAAAGATCAAAGGGTAAAAAGAAAAAAGAAAAGAAAAATTCTCCAAATTTATCATATAAACTGGAAAATGATTATGTACTTGTGTAGGACACAAGGCATTGACTTTTGGGGAGAATTTGTGTACAAGTGTACATCATTCCTTTAACCACTAAAGTCATTTTATTCGTGTTATATTATATTAATAGTTAACCACTACATTTGATAATAATTTAATCGTTCGATATTAGTATACTGTTAGTTAGCTACCACCTTTTGTATTATCCATCTTTATAATACAGTGAGACTAATGCTCAATTCATACTGAATTGACTAAAAGATCTCAGGTTAAGTCCCAAAAAATTAACTGATGTAATATTAATCATACTTGATTCCTAAGTCGACCCCACTTATCATAGACATAAACTAAATTTATATCGAACCGAATCGAATATTATCAAGATTCAAAGTGACATTACACGAACCTGATCGGAACAGCACTTATTTGTTGGCGTTAACAATGCAGCGAAAAGGTCTTAATACGATTAAAGAAACTACTATACAGTTGTGTATAGTGGAGAATGCAACTTATACCTTACCTTGGTTGTGATACTGAGGGTGGTATGTAGAAGCAAGGTTCTCCCAGTCGTGAACCGGTTGGGCATCATTCTCAGAGTTACAAATCCTGGTCAAGTTTATAGGTGCAAAAGGACCAAAGTGATTGCTCTTTGAACCTTGTTTCCAGTCCTCCAAACGACTTGTATCAGCCAAAATTTCAACTTTTTCATGCTTTTGCCACTTAATGCACTGGTTGGAATTCTGATCATTTGAAGAATCAACCTTGTTTGTGACATCAGTTCCGAACATCCTTTTCTTGGACTCACTAAGAACAATTGATTTCCCTCTCAGCCCCAACCACCTAAACGCAGGTTTCCGGGTAGCTGCAGTCTGGGTCTGCACAAACATTCGTTTAAATTTAAAAAAATAAGTGGCACTTGTAACTTAAACCTGTAACTATAACAATTCCAACTTCCATGGCTACACAAATCAAAGTTTAAGTTATTCTAAGCCTTTTTCTGGTTTTCTATGTTATGTTTACCTTCTCAATAAGATTCATGGAAGACAACACATTTGCAATGCCATACAACCGCCTCACTTTTGCTGTTGAAACCATCAAAATAACAAATCAGTCAATCTGTTATCCCTTTCTATAAGTTCCTCAATTCACAACAGCGATAGACATTTCACCCAGATCTGAAAAGTTAAAACCTGATTTGATTTGATACGATAAAATTGATCTTTTATTTTGAAGTTCAAATTTCAAGTCAAGATCGGTTTTTTTAAGGGTGGGTTAAATTCGGATTTAAATTTAGAGTGAAAAAAAAATCTGGTTCAACATAATATTATAATTATTTCTTTTATATTTAAAAATAATTACAATAATATTTTTTTTTCAATCAAATCTTTATTTTGCTTTATAAAAATGAATGATATATATGTAGATAAAGTCGGATGCAAGATTTAATTTAAAAATCAAGTTGGGTGCTGGTCTTAACTTAAAAATCAGATTAGGTGAAAACCCTTCTAAATTTGAGTCGGATAAGATACGATAGAAAACATTTAATATTTTAGTCGAAAAGCTCGATCCAACCCATGCTGACTGACAATGAGGTGGAAATAGTAATGGTTTGTTACTTCTCATTACTGAGGTTTTGTTAGCATTCCCGAGCAACAACCTGGCTGCTTCATCGAGGCCTGAAAAGCATTTACCTAGAAACATCAAATAACAACCAAAACAAAGTAATATCACGGCAATTTATAGGGTGCAAGAACAAGGGTCTCACATTACAACAGAGAAATAACGAAATTCTGAGTAAGTAGCCCCAAGGACTTTTCCCTTCGGTTATCTGCAGACATCAGAAGACAATTCATAAGATGCTTTCAGCAGTTGCATACTAAATCACCGTTAAATTTCACTTAAGCATTGATTGTTTACGCTGCATATCAAAGCCTTGGTTTTTAAGGCCGCAAGAGGCACCGATGCGCAAAAGGTTTTTGGAGCCTAGGCATAAGGCATAGGAAGAAACCGCGCACCATTCATAGGCTTTTATAAATCAACATATTTATTCTCATTACCCATTGATTCACTCCTAAATCACTATAACTCTCATCTTAAATTGATCTTTAAACTTTTGAATATTTTGATTTCATCCTTACAATATGATACATAAACAAAAATCCATAGTTCAAGGGACCAAATTAGAATAAAAATCATAGTTTAGGGATGAAATTAAAAATTTTAAAGTTTTGAGGACTAATTTAAAAGTATATCATATATTAGGGATGAAATTAAAACATTAAAAAGTTTAGGGATTAATTTAAAATTAAGATCATACTTTAACAACATATAATATAATTAATTAATAAAAATAATATTAATGAAAAAATAATAATTTTAAATTTTATAATATGTGAATATAATAATTAATTTTAAAGTGATGAAGGGTTTCTGTTTAATTATTTTATAATATAATCAAAAAGTTTTTACCATAGAAAAAAGAAAAGTGGAGGGTTTTTTATTTTTTATAAACAAAATGAGACTAGGTTTTTTACCGTTATGTGCCATTAAATTAAAAGTTTTTATTCTTGTCTACTATATAAAAGAAGAAGAAAAAAGCAGTGATGTGCTTGTCGTCACAAAAGCAAGCGCCTTGGTACGTCTTCTGTACCTCGCTTCGCTTACAACTTTGTAGGCGATTTTTGATGAGTCCATAAGTGCTCTACGTCTAGGCGCACTCAGGACGCACTTTTTAAAACCAAGAGTAGATCATTTCAATCAGCATAAACAAAGATTTAAATTGTAGTTGTAAACCTTGCGGTCACATTTTCATTATGTTGATTTTATCACAATTATCGGTATAATAGTTAATGCGATCACTCTGAATATCGCGATTGTGATTTTATTTTAAAATTTACATAATTTATTTTAAAACATAATAATTTTAAATGTCGTAATAGACAGATAAATTTTTTCTTTTCCTAAAAAAAATTACCGTAATGAAACAATAACGGGAATAACAACTTATTATTATGAATTATTGGCCCTATTAGTTAAATTGCGACAGCAGTTCACCATTATTTGCATATTCAATTTTATATTATTATTTTTTACAGTAATAATTTCGAACAAAATTACTATCACTATAGAACAGTCAGTATTCTACTCCACGACTGCTTTTTAAATTAATATCTTAAGGGAATTAGAAGGAACGAAGTTGATGAAATTGAAAATTTATCAACTTTCGAGGACGAAGACTTAAGAACAGAGCTAGATCTTGAAGTCTCAGTCTGGCTCCCATCGTTGGTATTGGAGAAACCTTCATCCTCTCCATGATCGTCATCATCATCCAAGATCTGAAACAATTAAAATCAGATGGTTTTCATAAG